CAGGCTGAAAATTGCGCAAAGCCATTGCCAAAGCCACAAACATCTAGCCTCACCACCCAAAACCCACGTAGCCTGCAGTCAAACAAACCCCCCTACTCCAATACCCCCCCCCACTTTTGGGGGGTTTCAAGTCAATCCTGTACAAAGAAACAAAAACATGCATTTGCAACGGAAAATCCTGATGCTCAAAACAAAAGACAAAACAACAGGTATTTGGAGTTCTCTTTTTCAACCACACGCCCGCAGGAAGCACGATATCAGAATTTCAATGGCTCAGAAAGTGTCCGGTCTAAAAGGGAGCCCCTTCACAATAAAGGCACCCCAAAACAACCCTATTAGCCGCCAACATGCCTTAAACCTTAGTCGCTAAAATCGCATGGGATTGGTTGGGGCAAACATTTAGTGGCCTTGATTCAATCAGCGGTCACTGCTACCTTGTTTCTCACTTGAGTGGATTGGCCGACTAAAACGGTCCAAAAATCAACAAAACGTGACTCACGTCCGCTTCCGGAACGGGAGTGTGACATTTGGAGAAGAGACCCCCCCCGGAAAAACACCAACAATCGCCCCGAACTCAGGGGTCACTCGATTCCCCAAATCAACAGTTCATCACTTTGCTGTTTCTTACCTTGAAACAATTGAACCCTGTTCAATAATTGATGCTTTAAATCAATAGGTTTATACTTTCCTCTCAGTGCCTTGATGTTGACTCGACCCCAGATTAATAAACCCCTCCTTGTTAATATGGGGGTGTTCCCCTCCAAAGTGACAAATCCCCTCCAAAACCAGGGACGCCCCTATCAAAATAGTCTATACATACCCCCTACTCCAAATACCATTTTTTCAGGGTATCATGTCGACCCTCTACTAAAAAAGGAGGTATTTACCTTGGACAACCAGGTCCTCCAACAAAAACACCCTGAAGAAAGCGACATGCATAACAAAAGTGGCTCGGAAACCCCGGACTTGGCATGTCCGACCCCAAAACCACGAGCCGGCGAACGCGGCAGAACGGGGCGCCGGCAGTGAGGAGATTTCCAGTGCCTCGGATCGAGCGAGACGAGGCACTGAGGCAGAAATCCGTCGAGTGGAGTCACTCATGTCGACCAACCATATTCACCTGGAGTCTCCCTCTGACCCTTTAAAGATGGTTGGTCCTTACCCCCCAAAAATAAGGGTCATTGACCCATTTTTGAGTCGGGTCAGAAGGAGACTCCAGGCATCATTCATTCAAGCCAACCAGCCCCTCCAATAGTGTTCCCCTCCAATGGTCGGAGAGTGAAGATTCAACCAACCAGCTCATCACAAGGGGGGTCTTCCCCTCTAATAGTCATGGTTCCCCACTAAGCTTAGGGACCAGTTTGTTCATAGGTGTTTTTCCTATAATTAGTGAAGCTTGTTAACATGGGGTCAACATTACCCCCGAAACCTCCAAATACCCGGTAGTACTTTTTTTCCCAGTTGGTATTTTTTGAAGCGTATTCTTGGAGTAGGGGGTATGTTTGTACCTGAACCCTCAGTCCTCTTGGCTCCCTTTAGCACAAGACGACGTTTAACCCTCAAAACAAAGATCCTTGAGGCAGACCCAAATGCTTGCCAAAACAGGGAAACGGTTTCAGGTCATTTCAGGTCGATTCGCTTTGGTTGCAAGTGCAATTTACTCAAATACAGTAGGACTTGCAACCTGCGAGAAAAGCTCCGCGCGCGGTTTCCTCTTTGTCCTTTTCGAGCGAAAGGGTACCATCAAAACAAACGTGTAGTTTCAGCTTCCCCCGTTGTTTTGTGCTTTGCACGGGTGTTTGAAGGTGTTGAGGTTGGGTGGTTTTCCATTTACAAGAGCACGGGGCTGAAATCCCCAAACTACCAACTCAAACCACTCAATTAAGGGCTTCCTGACAGTTTGCCTGTTGATGTCCTATCCAAATACCTGCTTCGTTTTAGGGTATCATGTCAACCCTCTAATAAAGGAGGAGGAATTCGTCATAGAGAACCAGATCACCACAAAAAATAACCTAACGAAAAGCTAGGTATTTGGAGCAGGGGTTAAGAAAAACAAGCGGAGTTTGAACATGTAGCCTAGGCGGTCCTGATGCGTTGACTCACTCAAGGCTTGGCCTTGCCCCTGACAACTCCCCTCGGTTTTGCAAGCAAGTGGTTTCAGATGGTGTGCAAATGGTTTCGAAACCTGAAGTATGTTGAAATGAATCTGCATCTTTTCTATAACTCCGAAACCCCGAATTGAGGAATCTCCAACAAAGGACCTTTACGGGTGAGCTCGTTCTAATGGCTTTGAGGTGAGCTCGCTATCTTAAAGAAAGAACAGCAGATTCATGAACTACGCTTGGGCTGAACCCCCACTTCCATTTGCTCAATTAAGCCTCTGGAGAAAAAAAAACACCGCAGTGATAGATTTCCTTTGAAACCGAAAGGGGAAAACAAACAATATTCATGTCGCTGGCTTTGCTCATTGTCTAGACCCCCAAGAAGGCCCTCAAAAGGATCCAAAGAGCACTGGGTGAACCCATACCCCCCAATCCAAACAACGACTCAAGAGTATCATCACAATGACTGTTCCTAAAAATGCATTTGCAATAGGAAACCTCGTTTTCCAACATGTACCCCACCAAAAAGTGGAGTACTTGGAGTAGAGGGCCAAGGGGAACCAAAGGCACCTTCATGTGGTAACATCGCACACCCTAGGTCGTGATTTCTTTGAATAACAAGCCAAGCCCCAATACTCACTTGCCCCTTTAGTAACCAGGAAATATGAAAGGTTATCACCTTTAGCGGTTAAGCTTGAGTAAAAGATGTAACTAAGATGTACCTGAATGGGGAAGCCATAAATAGCCATAAGGTCATTTCAGCTCGATTCGCTTTGAGCTTAACAGAACCTTGGCAACCTGAGGCATGGACTGGCGCGCCGGCGCGCGCAGTTTTGCCCCTACATCCCGCGCGGTGAAAAGCGCCTAACGCGCAAAGGTCGCCACCATCCTCACCATCAACTTGGTTTCCACGTGGGTGGGAGCATCCGGTTCCGTCCATGGTTTCGCTTCCCTTGTCCCCATACAGCTTCTTTTGTAAAATGAGGGTCCTTGATTTGGGAGAAACCTCTGACTAGCATTCCTTACTCCAAATGACAGCTTTTTTTGGCTATGTTTTTGAAACCCTGGTCTTCCGTGGAAAATACCTTCTTTTTTGGTGACGTTACCCCAATGAAAGCAGGTATTTGTGTGACTATAGGGCTATTAAGTACCATTAGCGTCCTTGCAACAAATGTAGGGCGGTTTCCCATTTTTCCCCGGCTCCGACTCCAAACGCCCGCCTTTTAAAGGGTATTTTTGGGAAAACCTAGGTTTCCAGTGTAAATACCTCCTTCTTCAGTCAATGGTTGACATCAAGTCCTTTCATACCCCGAACAAAAAGTGGGCTTTGGGTGTAGTATGGCTCAAAATCATCGGACTCTTCATTCTTCGGCGTCCTCTGCTCGCTTCGGAAGTCGCTCTTTCTCCGCCGCGGTGCCCAATTCGCCGAAGTCCCAAGGTGCCACGGAGTTGTTGGGTTAAGAGTGACATCCTCACACCCCTCTTCATCCGGCTTTCCCACTGCCTACCAATTTTCTAGAGAACCCGCAAAGTGGCAACAGTATAAAAGAGACCCAGTTGCTGTGGATGGGCGAATTCCATTTCGCACCGGAAAAAAATGATGCTTGTTCCCCGTAAATACCAGTACACTATGTATTCCCATGGTTTCCATTTGTCGTCCATCCACAGTATGAGTCTTTTTGCGCCGTGGCAACTTGGCAACGTCCGGACGAAACAGGTCCTCCGAAAGGGCGGCTTTTGATTGCGGAAAATGGCGAAGCTGCCAGGGGTCTGGAATCAGGGCCGGCACAAGCATCGGAAGTCCCAGTCATAATAACGCTTTGAAGGGCAGCACCTGGCAAATACTTCAAGATGCTGGGCAATGTGACAAAGCTCAAATGGCCATGGGTCAAAATCACGTACCCCCAATCCCAATCCCCACTAAAATAGACTAAATGGGTGGTGCACCTACCCCAAACTGGTTTCATTGGTTTTGACCCACAGCCAAATATTAAAAGCAATAGCAAGCAAGATGTAATGTTGACCCAGGATGAATCAACCCGTCCCATTATTAGGGGTGTGTTCCCTCCAAAAGTGGTTTGAGTCCCACTAAAAGGGGACACCCCCTATTGGCCAACCAGGGGTGTATTAATCCGGGGTTAACATTTCGGCCCACCATGCCCACCAACCCTTGGAAGAATCCCACCCATTTTGGAGCTTCAAAGCCCAACTCAACTGCGTGCCGCGGGCCGTTCCGAGCACATGCGCTTGGATCGCTGGTGGGCCACGAAAGAAGCAACACAAGGAGTGGCTAGCCTGGGATCTCGTTGAACAAGTCGAACAGGCTGCCTGTGATTTGCCGAAGGTGCTATCATTCTAGGGGTTGATTGCCCATTATTTTCAACCATTGTTCTTTCCAAAAACTTGCCGTTTTCCCTGGGTTTCCGGAGGCTTTCTAGAAAGAAGGATCCCTGCAAAGAATGGGTAAGGTACCCCTAGAACGGTGGCCAAGTCATGTCCTACAAAGCATCTGAAGCATGTAGGCTGAGAATGGAAGGATGGGAACTCTGGGACGGTTGGGCACCATTCTGTTTGATGCAACAAGGCCCACTAGGCGACTAGGTTTATCTGCGAGCATTTGTACATACCACGTGTTCATCTCCCAAAAGGTGTACATGCGTATCATAAAGTGTTCTTGCTACCAGGGGGCCAACGGGATGAACAAAGGGATTCCCCCACAGAGTAATTCAACAACTCGGGGGAACCAAGGCGTTTTCTCCTGCATTGCGAAACAGTAGCACCCCCTACACCCAACATACCCTCTTTTTTCAGGGTATCATGTCGACCCTCTATACCAAAAAAGGAAGGTTTGTAGCGTGGAAAACCAGGTTTTCCGAAAAATGCCCTCAATAAAGCGTTGGTATGAGCAGGCATGTGTCAGGTAACCTTCCAAGGCATTCTCGAGAAGGCCGGGTAGGCACGGATCTCGCGGCGGTCACAAGTCCAAGTCCCTTCGATCTGTTGGGGTGAGCTCGTAGAAGCTATCCACTTCGCGCTCCTCAGAGTGTGTTGGTGGAGACGTTGGGTTTCCTAAACTGGGCCCGGGCCCTCAGATCCCGCTACAGGGATCCCTATGCTTAAACAACCTGAACATTGCAACTTGTTCATGGTGGTTTCCCTTTGTTTTAGTGTTGAAAAAGCAACATGTTTCAAATGGTTGCAAAATGCATCTTTGAAGGAGCCCTGTAAAAGTTTAACGGTTAGTGGGTTAAATGGAAACTACCACTAAACACTAAAAGGCTAAACCGCTAAGGGGATAGCTGGAACCCACCAAGTAAATGAACATGAGCAGGGCCGTGGGAAATGGAACCCACTGTGATACAAGGAAAAGGGGGCTTCCCAAAGACGAACCCCGCAGACATGCGGGGAGATTCCCTTGTATCACAGAAGGTCCGAGTGATGCCACAACCCTGAACATGAGGGTTCAGGGAGTAGCTTTGACCATGTGCTCAGGTGGCCCTAGATTGAGCTCCTTTAAAGGGGTTGCCTGCAGGGATCTTTCTTGGGCCAAAGGGGAACCACCTGGCCTTCCTCATAACCAAATCAGCTTCCCCCGGATTGGTGGTTTGGATTGGTGGTTTGGATTGGTGGTTTGGATTTGTGTTTCGGTGGTTGAGTAGTTTCCCATGTACCCTCTACAACAACCAGGGGCTCAAGCCCCACATTGGAAATCCAAGCCACCAAGTAAGGATTATCTGACGGGAAGTGAATGACCTGGTCCCTGTCAGCCTCCAAGCAAAAACGAAAACGGCGCGTGGGTCCAAAAACTTGTTTGACCCGCACGCCCCCAGTTCCCACTGCACACACCCAAGCACCCTGCATGCAGCCAGGTTTTGATTGCGGGGTCGTCTGGGTTCGTCTTAAAAATAGGCCAACAACAAATGTGGTTTCTCTTTGGCTTCCCATTGAAACCCCCACAACAAGGTTCCCCAAAAAAAACACGGCAGCTCCTCCAAATTGGTGCCCGGTTTGGAGTTTCGGGGATGGTTTCCCCTCGAAACTATTCAAGATCCCCAAGCCGATCCATTCCACAGGCTGCCTGAACAAAGGGGTTCCGAGGAGGGCGCGCATAGTCTGTCCTCAAATGGCTGTGGGTCAAAACCAATGGTACCATTTTGGGGGAGGTGCACCACCCAGGGTAGTCTATTTAGTGGGAAGTGGGATGTTCACTGGGGGTAGTGGATTTTGACCCATGGCCAAATGCCCTGCGAAAAGTGAAGCTTCAGTGGGTATGGAACATCCCGCTAAACCACTGAAACCCCAAACGCCAAAGGAACCGGACGGCTGGGAACCGCCAAGACAATTAGCCCAACCAAACAACCAGCCAGCCAGCCAGCCAACCAGCCAACCAGCCAACCAGCCAACCAGCCAACCAACCAACCAACCAACCAACCACCAGCCACCTGGCCAACTCCCACACTACCCGACTCTCAAACGCACCGGGTCTCTGCATCGAAGAGGGCAGACCCAAAGGCCACAGCCTCCAGAATGAGGCGCCGCAGGTTGTCGTAGCTGATGGAAATCGACTTCACTTTGCCCCTGGGGTCGAACGCCAAAATCGGTCGAACGCCATCCAGTGGATTGGATCCAACAAAAGTAAACCTCTAGCTTTTTGGTGTTCCTCTCGTCGTGTTGCTGTTTCACCAGACAAAGGGGTGTCCTCAGAAAAGCAAACGTACACACACACACACACCACTGGCTACGATGTGAAGCCACAAGCTTCGGTTCAGGAGTTCTGGGGCCCATTTGTGGCTTTCCGTAGCCACTGGAACCACCCTCTACTCCAAATACCAAGGTTGTTTTAGTGGTACATGATGAAGACACTTGCATTTCCATGGCAAGTACCTGGTGTTGCTCAAGGGTTATCATGACACCCTAAAACAAACTTTATTACCCAGCTTGGGTCCCTTGATATCCTCTGAAAGGTACTTTCCGTACCCCGTCTTTGCCTGGGCCATTTTGGTAGGTAAGGGACCCTTTTTAGCTACGGAGTCGAAAGCTGGGAGCGGCCCAACCTGGACCAACCCCCGCAACAACCTGGACTCAAACGCCAGCTGAAACCTGCCTAAGGGACTTGCGCTGGGCAAACCTCGCTTGTTGGGCCATGCAAGAATCGGAAACCCGAGCATTTTTGAGCTACATCAGACCCGGTTAACAGGAAACCAGTTGCAACCAGCCATACATGGGTACGTGTCAAATATGGGAAACGGCCGGCTTTTCTTTTGGCTTCCCTTTGCACCTCAACCCCTCCAAGTTCCCCCCGTAAAACAGCCATTTGTCACACGTCTGGGATGTGTCCTCAGATCCCCTGCTAAAGTTTCACTTTGACACCCCCACTTAACCCTAAACTAGACCTACCAACCTAACGGCTGGGAACGACCCAGAACAAAAATCATTAGAATGCCGGATGAGATGCCTTCGTTGCCAAGAGGCTCCGCCAGCGCCTGCTGTAGCCTCTCTGTGGCCTCCTGCTCGTTCTCCGCCCCCTGCGAGAAAGATCTGCATGGTTCACTTTGGGTCTTCGGCGTAGGGCAACCTTGACCCCATGGAAACCCCCCCCCCGCCCAAAACCAAAAGGGCTTGATCCCATGGAAAGTGGGGCGGGCCCTGACAAAGCCCGAGTTGAAAACTGCCGACTTCTCAGTTGCCCAGTTACCCAGAAATAAGAAGCTGCTCACCTTTTGACACCTTGACTAAAAATGGGAACCCAAAACTGGACTGGAATTGGGACCCCAGCAAAAAAATATATATTTTTTGCCTGGTTAGTGGAAAACAAAGGGGACTCCAAAAAAGCAAAAAGTAAAAGGGGGAAATAATTCTGGGGAAGAAAATTGGAAAACCGAAAGGTCAGAAGGTCGATTCGGTTTGGGTAAGTCAGACTTTCTGAGGGTGCCATGTGACCTCGCTTCTTCGTTGGACATGTTGCCCCTGCCAATCGCAGATACGGTGGATGTCCCATGCAAGTACGTGAGGCAACAAGGAGCCCCTCTAAACAAGGGATCGGTATTTGCCATGAAAAAAAAACTTTATTTTCTTTTCCGGGGGGGGGGGGAACTACCTAAGAAAAAGCGTTGATACTTTCAATGGAAAAAAATGCACCACTTCGAGACCATGGTTGAAACCATTGTGTATTGGTATTTCCCCTGGGCAATCGAATCAGAAACCAGGGTTTCTGAACGGTGGTGCAAAACAGACTCCCTTCCTGGGTGCATTGGCAAACAAAGTCCAAACTTTGCTCATGTACGGTATTCCCTAAAAGTTTAAAGTCCAAGAACTCAGGAAGTGAGTGGATTTCCCAACCATCCACAGTATGGCGTTGTAGTTCAGTATGGCTTACCTGGACCCTCAAACTACCTACAAAAACTAGAATTCATCCAATAATCCTGGGGCAACAACCTATTTTGAGTATTCCTGAACCCTCCATTTATCCATGAAAACGGAGTATTGCCCCACATTCATGGGGTTGGTCTACTTTATGGGTACCCTCAACTCAAAATACCCGCTTTTTGTCCAGTGTTTTTTTTGGGAACACCGATGGGGTTTCCATGGAAAATACCTCTTGTTTTGGTAGAGGGTGGAGATGATATCCTGGGAAAAAGCTCGGGTACTTGGAGTAGAAGGCACCTGGACCCCCAAAGGACCCCGATTTGTTTCTGCCTTTGACCAAAAAAAAGGGGGACTTAAAGGCAGAAAAAATCGGTCCTTTGGGGGTCCAGGTCGTTTCTCCGGGTCCAGATGGTTCCAAGCTTCCCGGCCTCGAGGGCTTCCAGCAATCGACTCTTCAGGACCCGCAGGTTCCCGAAAAGACCCTCAGCTGCAGATACTGTGGATGGTTGCGAAATCCGCTTCTCGCACCACCCAAGAAGCCCTGGAATGATTCGATTACCTTGTAAATGACAACCAATGGTTTCCTATGGTTTCAAAGTGGTGCGAAATGGAGTTCGTCCATCCGCAGTATGGCGCCAGGTGCCTCAAAGAAATCTACCAAAATGGCGCCCTATCGGGAGAGTGCCCTATGAAGTTGACGTCTCTTGTAAAGTTGTAGTTTTGAGGGTTCAGTACCCCTGGACCTCCAAAGGACCCCGAGAAGTAGAAGGTAATCACCTTTTCAAGCCTTGACTAAACATGAAAACCAGATGGGAAAACCAGATGGGAAAACCAAAAAGATCAGATTGATTTGCGACACATCGACGGAACCTCACTTCCGACTGGCCAAGAAAAGTCCAAACTGTTGCCTGCGACTAACATCCTGGACCCCCAAAGGACCCCGGTTTTTTTCTGCCTCTGACCCCAAAAAAAGGTAGTAAGGCAGAAAAAAGGAATCGGTCCTTTTGGGTTCCAGGCTGATCCAAACCCAAAAAGGTTTAAAGCCCAACTCTGAGTCTCAGGAAGTGAGAAATACGAGGGAACCCTCGACAAGAATGGCAGGCGTTCCTTTCGCTTGAGGTGTTAACACACACACCGCTCCAAATACTCAACACACACACCGCTCCAATGGCATGTCAACTCTCTACAAACACAGGGGCCGGATATGTTTTTCCCGGGAACCCGATCGGTTAAAGAAAAAAAAAACCGCCCACGGAAGCAGGAGTTGATACATGTGGAGTTTTCGGACCGCCAAGAATTGGGGTGATCCCCCGCTAAACACTTGTTTCGCCTCTGGCCGGGAAAAAAATGACAAAACAATAAACACTTGTTTCGCCTCTGGCTAAAAACAAAAATCAGAAACCCAACCACTAAAAATATCCACGCCGAGTTGAAGCGGATGGCCTTTTGGAACCCAGGAAACAAGGCGCTTCTCAAACTCGCGAGTTGCGAAGTGAATTCCTGGGACGTCGCTTCCTGCCTTCCATTTGGTTAAGACCCCGGGAAAAAATATCCAGTAGTGACAACTTCCTGTTAAAACCAACAAGGGAAAATCACAATAATATATATATATATATATATATATACATATATATATGTATATACAAAAAAAAACACAATTTCCAGTAGTGACAACTTCCTGTTAAAACCAGCAAGGGAAAATAACAATAATAATAACAATAATACTAATAATAACATATTCTAAAGCAAATGGAAGTTGCGAGCGCTTCCGGAGCGAGCGGCAGAGACCTGCAACTCCATCACCGCCTGGGCTTCTGCAGAGGCCAGGCTCCTGCGCTCGGGGGGGGAGGGGAGATGGTTGGGGGGGAGGGTGGGGATGGGGATGGTGGGGGGGGAGGGTGGGGATGGTGGGGATGGTGGGTGGGGATGGTGGGGGGGGAGTGGTGGGGGGGGGGATGGTGGGGGGGGGGGGTGGGGGGAGGGGGATGCTGAAGCCGTCACAGCTGATGGTTGCGAAATCCACTTCTCGCCAAGTTGAAACCATGGGAATGAAACCATAACGAATTTATTGGTATACGCCAAGGTCCTGCTTGAGTAGAGTGCCTTCTTTGCTCTAACCTTCTTTTGGAAAATTGTTTTGAATGGGAAGTGGAAACCATGGGAATGAAACCATGGCGTTTATTGGTGTTTACGTTGGGAAATCGAGTTATTCCAGGTGCGACATGGGTTTCGCAACCATCCACCGTAGCAAGAAACCAAGAAACAAATAGGGGGAACAACTATTGAGAAACAAGATGGGAGTTTGCGAAAAGCTGGAACAAATTCAAGGGGGATGACAAAAACACAGGGAGGCAACCAGAAGAAACACAGAACCCGATCAAGAGGATCAGTCAAACATAGCCATGAAGTGTTGGTTTTTCATAAAATGGTCCAACCTCAAACAGTGTAAAGTAACCAGGGACTTTGTGCATTTATCACACGACTGGCCCTCTCAAAAAGTTTGAGGTTCGAAACGCAACTTAGTCGGATCCCATGGCCTTCAAATTCTGACGGAACCTCTGGAAGCCCTGGGAATCCAAAGGTGCTGTATTTATTACGGTGCTTTATAGAAAGACGGTTTCTTGAAAGCCGATGTTTCTAGTTGTTCAAAGCTTGCTTCAAAAACGCCACTGCCAACTTAGGAAGAGGCGTGGATCTTGCCAGTGCCCAATATCAAGTTCAGGTTATTCTAAGCCGCTTAATCTTTTGCACGGTTGCACGCAAGAAATCATAAATCGCGCTTTAACCTTGGACCAAGTTGCTTCATGCCAAAAGAACAGAACACACCAGCCGTATGATTAATCTGTTATTTTATTGCGAGCTGACCAAACAACCAGCTATGAGGCTATGAGGTGCAGAACTTAAGAAGGCCGCCCTGTTGCACAGAGTTGGAGCCTACACAACGCATCCACACCAGCTGTTTGCTTTGCCGCGCACAAGTAACTTGCCGTGCCAACAATCAAAACTACCATGCCTGAGGCCACCGCCAACATGTGTAGGAATCAACATCCAAACTATCAAACCAGGAATTGTATAGTTTCTGCGTGTGTGTTGCTTCTAATTAGCATGTCGTATTTTTGTGACAAAATCCACAAACGGTCTTTCACTGCCAACAACGGTCTTTCACGGCCAAAAACGGTGTTTCACGATAATTTCACGGCAATTTCACGGTAGTTTCACGCTATTTTCAGGACAGTTCATACTAGAGCCAAGCAAAGTATTTTCAATCACGAGTTATTGTCGCAATACTATTGTATGTTCAGGAGGGCAACTTCTGCAGTCCTCAAATAGCGAGATTGACACCTTCGGCTATGCGCTGCAAATGGCTTCGAATTTTTACGCTCTATATACTACAGTGCAATCGTTCACTTACTATCTATTTTGCGATGCAAACTTGGGCATGCTCAGCTACGCGATGCCGTCCAGAGAATGTAGTTCAAAGGTCAGTTCAGCTGTGATTCTTCGACAAATGCGCATCAGCGCAGGCAGTACTAATTGCCCTACAAACTTGATGTTGCAAAGCGAGCATATGTTCAAACACTTGACTCGCAGCGCTGCCCCAAAACCCTCAACGTCATAGCCAAAGTGACTGTTTTGAGGCCAAGGAGCCATTTTTATTGGCAGGAGGGCTGGAAACATAGTATTACATTGCACAAACGGCTGTTCCTGGCCAAAAAGGGTCGTTCCGAATAGAGCAAAAAAAAAAAAACAACGCCGAGGACTTCCAGGCAAAGCCTTGAGTCACCACAAAACCGTAACCAGCACAGGGTTGGCAAAATTGGTATGGCTCAAAGGGCACATCACGAATGGACAGAGCTTGAAGGGTGCAGGAAACAGGTTTGCCTATCAAGACGGTAAATCAAACGGGGACCCCCTTAATGAGGTGCCCTAATTCTTAAGAGGTAGTTTCAAAGACAAACCCTGGTACTAGAAGGGTCTCCTGAACGATCAACAACCTAAAGGGCGACCCCACACCGGTTTTGCTGGTGCCACATCAGTGGCACGTAGGTGATCTGGAAACATCGAACAACCCGTCCATCGCCTATTGGATTACATCATGCGAATTCAAAACACTACGCTAAGACCCCAACACATACATTTGAGTGGGGTGCTCGACAACATCGCATGCCCTCAACAGTGCAAGGCATGCAGGAACAACCTTGAGCTGAAGAAGCAGTGCTTGCCAAGCTCCCATTGGGCCCCTTTGCCCCCCCAACAAAATAACATGAAATAAAAACGTAAATTAAAAAAGAGTCCGGCCCAAAGGAAACTCCGATTTGCTCCAAGTCTCCTGGAAAAATATGTCCAGTATGCATAATGATAGATTCCCTTTAAAAAAAAAAGAAACACAGAACACAACACATATTCTTCAGCTAGCGGAAACCACATTTTTCCCACTGAGTGCCAGGATTGATCCGGGGGGTGGCATGATAGGAGGAGGCTGGCCTTCCCGTTTGCGAGCTTGTCAAACTTTGAGTCGTTTCAACTACATATGCAGGCCAGAAATTCTCACAGCAAGTTAAGTTGAGTCTGCACCTGGCTGCTATCACCACCACACTCTGGATCGCCCCATGTCACCACTGAGATGTCGAACGGGATGGCAGCAAAAGCAGTGTCAGTTGCTTGGATCTGCTGGACTTGCACCAACTGCTCTTGTACCTCACTGCTGTCAGCGCCAAAGGAAGGATGGCCCCACGTCACCACAGAGCCGTCGTCCAGGATGGCAGCAAAAGCCCGTGTAGTTGATTGGATGTGCTGGACGCGCACCAACTGCTCTCGCACCTCGCCGCTGTCACCACCAAAGTGAGAAGCGCCCCAAGTCACCACAGAGCCGTCGTCTAGGATGGCAGCAAAAGCCCTTGCAGTTGATTGGATCTGCCGGACCCGCACCAACTGCTCTTGCACCTCGCCGCTGTCACCGCCCCAGTGAGGGTGGCCCCACGTCACCACAGAGCCGTCGTCCAGGATGGCAGCAAAAGCCCTTGCAGTTGATTGGATCTGCCGGACCCGCACCAACTGCTCTCGCACCTCGCTGCTGTCACCGCCAATTGCAGGATGGCCCCATGTCACCACAAAGCCGTCGTCCAAGATGGCAGCAAAAGAGCCTTCATTTGCTTGGATCTGCTGGACTTGCACCAACTGCTCTTGCACCTCGCCGCTGTCACCGCCAAAGGCAGGCTTGCCCCACGTCACCACAGAGCCGTCGTCCAGGATAGCCGCAAAAGCTTGATCAGTTGCCTGGATCTGCTGGACTCGCACCAACTGGTCTCGCACCCTGCTGCTGTCACCGCCAAATTCAGGATCGCCCCACGTCACCACAGAGCCGTCGTACAAGATGGCAGCAAAAGAGAATTCATTTGCTTGGATTTGCTGGACTTGCATCAACTGCTCTTGTACTTCGCTGCTGTTACCGCCAAAGGCAGGTTTGCCCCACGTCACCACAGAGCCGCCGTCCAGGATGGCCGCAAAAGCTTGATCAGTTGCTTGGATCCGCTGAACCCGCACCAACTGCTCTCGCACCCTGCTGCTGTCACCGCCAAAGGCAGGATGGCCCCACGTCACCACAGAGCCGTCGTCCAGGATGGCAGCAAAGGCGTCCCCATTTGCTCGGACCTGCTGGACGCGCACCAGCTGCTCTTGCACCCGGCTGCTATTGCCGCCAGAGAGAGGATGGCCCCAGGTGAACACTCTCCCCCCAGTGGTCCAAATTGCGAAGGCGCTGAGTGTGGAAGCTAGCTTTGGAGGCTGGGCAATTGCATCAATGATGTCCCATTCTTGCACCACCTCACCCAAAGTAGACCTCGGATCCAGCTGCCGGCCTCGAACAGCGAGCCTCAGACACTGGCGCTTCAGCTGACGTTGTGCCTCGGCCTTGAGCTCGCGGACCCGCGACGTTGGCGCCAGCACCACCGAGCAGCTCTTGCCACTTGCCAAGCACACCTCCACGGAAAGCATCTCCGGCGCTGGTTGGGACATGGCGGCGGCTCACCAAATGCTACGAAAATGGCACCTGGGAAATGGAGGAAAAAGACAAAAACCTGCGAAACCCTAGCTCTTGAGCTTTGAGCCACACCCACATCACGGCTACGGCTTCAAGGGCAAAGCTGTGGGATTGCTGGTCGTTTTCCTGGCAGCTGGAAGCTTTCGGGGCTCGATAGGGTCCCTGCTGGGGATGCCACATGGGCTTACCAAAAAAATGGGCGCAAGTAGGGACACACATGGCAACTCCCCAATTTTACCACGCGCCAGGCATCGTATTTTTTGAGAATACTTCACTTCAGTGAGGGTGTGCAATTGGCCCACAAGAACCAAAACGAGCCACAAGCGGAATGGCAACCCGGCAGCCCTCCCAACCTGAGACGACCAGTTTCCCCTTTTTCAGAGGGTGCCGCTTTCGAGCGGTTCTACCCGGTGATTCGCTGGTCATTTCCCTAACCGAAAAAGCCCCTTAAATCAAGCGGCAAATGAAAAGGGTTGCCTACTATAGGCGAGACAAAATTCATTTCGCACCACGGTTTCTGATTCGTTTTCCAATCACTGCCAACCAATGATATGGTTTCAATCAACTCCATGGCTCCTCTTGTTGAGATTTGCATGGATTTCGCAACCACCCATCAGTAAGGCTAACTGGGGTCCAACCCGCCAGCAAGACGCGGTTCGGATAGGTGCAGCATCCTGGGGTTACCGATCGGTATTCCCAAACATAGCAACTGAACAATGCGGATCTTCGGAGTAGTTTTTGGGTATCTAAACCACGTCCGGGCCTTAAAACATCGACCTGAGCTATCCTGTGATTTCAGGGCAACCTCTTGCTTTGGCTTAGTTGCCCTAGCCAGAAATCAAAGGTTCACCTTTTGGGGCCATGACTAGAGATGGTGGCCAGGAAGGGGAAACTCCCTAACATGGAAGTGCACTTCCAGCAGGAGTTTGTACACTTCTATGTGGGTTGGTGGGAAGGTATATCAGGGCGATTCGCTTTGGTTGCAAGCGAGTTGAGAGTGGGAGAGCTCAGACCTCGAAACAAGGAACCCCTGGTTTTTTGTGAACCCTCAAACAATACCCAGAACACATGTTTGTTGCAACCCAAAATGTATGGGGGTACAAGTAGCTACTTTTTTCCAGCCAGTTTACCCACCAGTAGCCCATAAGTTGGCAAAAGTAGCTGAAAATAAAGGCAACCGGTAATTTGAAGGTTCAGGGCCCCATTCAAACCTCGCCCCCGGGGAAAAAAGAAGAAAGAACAAACACATCGCTTCGGACATGTCGGCGCTGGAGTCCTGGCACTTCTGGCGGGTGTCAAGAGAAGACATCAGGGGAGCTAGGGAAGCTGGTCAGCTCACATGTTCTGGGACCCTCCTTTCCCCCCCCCCCCCCAAGATTGTTCTGGGGCCATTGGGTCCTTATATGGACCTACCTTCCATTGGCGTTTTGGCCAAAATGGGGCAAAATGAGCAAAATAAATGTGGAGCTGATTCCTAGGAGAAATGCAACATCTAGGTCCTCCAGAATTGAGAGGTTAGAATAAGGGTACCCGCTTTTTTCCTTTCTAGCACTAACACCGGGACCCAAAAGTATTGCGAGCCCAAACTTCCGGCCCGTGGACCCCAACAAAGCTCGAAACCTGACTTCGTCGGGTGCTTGCAACCCATTTGCCCTCAAACTCAGACCAAAAAAAAAAAAACGGAACACCTCCCCCACCACAGGTTTGGGCAACAACAAACAACAAAAAACGGCACAGATCAGCCCAAGTTTGGGCTGCAACCCATGTTTTTATGGCCAGCTTGAGGCTCCAGGAACGCATTTTCGGAGCCCGAGCTCTCCTGATCTGTCGCAGCTCCTCCGGGCCGAAGTTCTGGATGTAGTCCTGCGAAGTCGTGGGAGGGAGGGGTGGGGAGGGCATGGGTTGCCCTGAGTTGCCTTCTTGCTGGGTGGGTTGAGGCTCCAGGTATAACAAAATATATCTCCGTTGTTCAGGTCCTGCCCCAAAGTGTCTCAGGGAACAGACTACGTTTTGGATGTTCAGATTCAGTTTCATAGCCTAAAACAACCCAATTCCATTCACATCCCAACGAGGCGCATCAGTCACAAGCCAAATGTGACAGCCGGATAATGGAGGAATCGCCTAAGGACCTTCAGGAGCTTGCCTTGCCTGCGGTGCGTGGTCTGGGGGGGGGGATGGTTGGGGGATGGTGGGGATGGTGGGGGATGGTGGCGATGGTGGGGGGGGGCGGGACTTGGGGGTGAGGGTGGTGGGGGAGGGATGGTTGGGGGGGGGGGGGATGCTTGGGGGGGGATGGTTGGGGGATGGTGGGGGGGGGGGAGGGTTGGGGGGGGGATGGTTGTCTGCTCCTTGCTTTAGGTACCTTGCCCATTGCTTGTTTGGGAAGAGTTGGTGCCTGTAGGGGAAATCACATGGAAAAAACAACACCATTTCGGGGTGGCAAACCGAAGCAACTTGTGAATCTCTAACACTCACAGGAGCCCAGTGGCCATGGGAAACAAACAACACTCCCCCGCCTTGATTGCTCATCTGTGTTTACAGGGAAATTCTTCCTCAAAGGAAAGCAAAGGGAAATTATTCCCCAGCTAAAGGCGAACAAGGGTGGAACCATGTTGGTCGCAACTGGGACCATTTGCCAAGCAAAGGTCCGCAAATTGTCCCATTCAGCCCCGCTGTCCTTCAGGGACATGTCGCCACGAGTCTCACTCTGCCTGGATGTTCGAGCAGCCAGGCTGGCAGAAAGGAACCGTTTGGTTTTCATGTTTCGGGAACCTATGCCCTCCAAATACTCCCGCTTCTTCTAGGGCTATGTGTTTCGGAAACCTGGCTTTCCATGGTAAATACCTTTGGTTCAGGGTTGACACGATACCCTCCAAAAAGTTGGGATGTGGAGGCATTTGTTGGGGAGCTTCTCCCATCTTCCTTTTTCTGGGGTTCCAAAAGAGTGCCAGAGTGCGTCCCTTGCGGCAAAAAGAACACATAGCTCCAATTCAAAGGTTCCAGTCCATTCAAGTGGGTTTTCTTTCGAACCCTTAGGAACCCGAGAAAACCCGACATGGGCTCTCAATTCCCTTCCCCGCGATGGTGCCCGGGATGGGATTCCAGAATGTTGACCCCGGATTAATAAACCCCTGTTTGTTAATATGGGGGTGTCCCTGGTTTTAGTGGGGATTCGTCACTTTTGGAGGGAACACCCCCATATTAATAAACAGGGGATTATTAATCCGGGGTTATTATTAATCCAAGCAAGCTGAAGATTTCACACAACGGTCCAGTCCAGTGTATGCCAGGGGACCATAGCCAACTTCCCGTTGAGTAGGGGAACCATCCAAGATGTAGAAATTCGGTGTGGCTCATGTCTCTGACGCCTCACGTAACCCCTGAGACTTCGGAATTTCGGAACAAGACACTTCAAGAAACTCACCCCAAATTGAGATGAAGGCCACCAACTAGGGTCGTCCAAAAAAGAGAAAAAAAAACTCAACTCTACACATGGTCTTTGGGGGTTGTTCATCTGCAGGGGAGATAACTCACACTTGGGGTGCTCAAATGCAAATCCCGCCCTCTCCTAGAGAACCCTGGCTGAGATCGGTCCAAAAAGAGTACAACATTTTGCAAGCGCAACCTAAATGGGTTGCCCAAAACGTGGCAACAGCCAGGAATTCGGGATGTGGGTTGAACCTTTGGGCCGATTCGCTTTCGTGCGTGAGACGAGTGAACCTAGTGGTCCAGGAGCCTTGAGGGTCCAGTGAGAAATGGCATGATCCCGATTTAAACCATCAACTGGTGGCTTCCTTTAAGGGGACCAAAGCCTGGGTTCATTTCTTTGGAACAAATGAGAACACACATGTCTAATGGTGATAGACTCCCTTCAAAACCAACAGGGGGATAGAAATAAACAATTTTTGCTTCAGCAAATGGAAGCCAACTCCTGCCATCGACTCCCATTCTCCGAGCCGCGCCCACGCGAGCTCCATCCACCGCGGCACCGGGCGCCGGTGCCGCTTCCGCCCCGACTCGTCTGGGCGACGACGTGGACGGCGCGCCAGGGGCGTCACGTGCGAAGCGCCGGGTCCCGCTGAAAGCGCGCATGTCCAGGCTAAGCACCGCCTTTTTTCTTCAGGGGTTGACATCATACCCTTAAAAAAAACAGGCTTTTGGAGTAGGCCCAGATGAGCTATGCGGTGGTTTGGGTTGCATCTTTCCTCCGGGGGTTCCGGAGGGACTTTCGGGGCTGTCGGGCACACGGATCAAAAATGGACCAGCCAAATCGGGAAGACCAAAAGGTCAAAGACCGATGTGCTTTGGGTAGCTGAGAGATAGCTTTCAGGTCACTCACCCCCCCCAAAATCAACATCTGAGGCTGGAGTGAAGACTCCCAGTGCTTCCAGGCGTGTCGCCACAAACGCGGGGAACCAGGGTGTGTTCTGTCTAGGTTTAGTAGGCAACTACCCCACCAAATTAATTACCCACATCATGCTTGGTGTTTGGGGAAAACGGTGGTTTTCCATGGTAAGTACCTCTTGTTTAGTACAGGCTTGACATGATACCCTGGGAACAAGTGGGTGCTTGTAGTAGGTAACCAGGCGAAACCACCTGCTAAACCTCCAAGTAACAAATAGAAAAGCTCCCTACAGTTGCCTGGAAGCATGGGGCTTTGTGCGGATTTTCATGAGTCCACCCGTATCCCTCCACCATGGATCATAGACTGATGCTCACTTCAGAACAATCTGGAGGACCCTACGCAGTTAGACGAACCTTCCAAAATGGACAATTTCCTTGCTAAAAGAGGAACCACCCCTGATGAGCACGGTCCGGATGAATCTAAAGATACTCCTACCTATATACTCACTTCATGAGTGGATTGTTGTTTACCACTAAAAATGGCAACCAAACCCCAAAAGCGACTCAAGTCCTTTTGACGTAACCTCCCTGTTCTTGATTGCTGTTGACCCCCTGTAAAAAGTTAATCACTTTTTAGGGGGTTTAGTGAACCCAGCTTGATTTCAACCAAAAAGTGAAAGTCTAAAGATCCGTTGCCCAATAGCAGTCAAGTGTTTAAGACAACCCTCCCCCAAAAAAGGGTTAAAGGGCACTACTGGGAGACCTGGGCAACCAAACCCCAAAAGCGACTACAGTCCTTTTGACGTAACCTCCAACGCCCGCCTGGGTCTGGCTCCTCCTGTACATCATAGGACCTCACACTCCAGACTGACGGTTTGTCGGCAAAATGACGGGGCTTCTTCCTGGATTTGCTTAAGTCCCCGAAACCAAAAAAACAAGTATAATGATAGATTCCATTTAAAACCAACAGGAGAAACAATGAATATTCTGAAGCAAATTCAACGATATCAACAAAGCACAACCATTGCGCTTGGCGGACCCCTTGTTGGATGGTCTTACAAGGAAACCAGAAGGAAACCATCCACCCGGAGGGTCACCAATTTTGAGAAACGCCCACTACACAAGAGCGTACCCTGAACAAAAAACAGTTCACTCAATCCCAATGGCGATATGCTTGCTGACTTGGGACCTGGTGTCTGACGCTCGCAGTAGGTGTGCCACCTGCCGCCACAAACAAAAAAACGGACATGTACAGGCGCACAAGAATCTGACAACAACACACAACATGATGCAGCCCTCAAGTGCCTTGAGATTCGAATGTCCTCAAATCACTGAGGTCTCTCCTTTTTTAAAAATGTTGCAGGGAATTTAATAGGATGTTGATGGATCTAGCATCCCAAACGCACTCAACAAAACAAATGCCGGGCACTCCGCGCCTATATGCGGCTATCCTATGAACCCCGCCAAGTTGTTTCACTCGCTGACAGCTTCATGTCACGCTGAAAGCGCGTCCCGGCGAGCGGGGACATATGACAGACCATCTGGAAACCAACGGGCATTACAATGAACAGGAACCTCCGACTAGCCGTATAAAAACGGGTTGTTGCACCCCAACAAATATGGGCGTCGAGGTAGTTGAAACCGGTTTTGCCATTGCACAAGATCCGTTTCGATTTTTCGGTGGGTCGCTTGAACACTTGCCAGGTGACGTGCCAAGACCCAGGGACAAGCACCAAATGAAAGCGCAAAATCAGCTTCCCTCCGATTGGTGGCTTGGATTGGTGTTTTGGCGGCTAAGGGAAGTGTTCCGTGCACCCTTAGAAGCACAAGGGGTTCAAATCACAAAGCATCAATTAGGGGTACCTGACAAAACTAGTACCTGGACCCTCGAACTACCCTTAAAAAAGACAGGAAACCACCCAAAGTTGAGGCTTCAGGTAGCCCTGAGCAAACGTCCAAAGAGAGCCATGTTGAAACCAAGCAACACCAACTTGTCGAGCTGGTATCTCACATCGGCTCGCCGCAGATAGTACCCGAAGAGCGCAGACATTGCCTAAGGGGCGAACACTTTGGTGCAAAGACCACCTCGTGGTGAATGAGTTGGGGCTACCCTGTTGAATCCGCCCGAATCGTGATCTACTTGAGGCCGGCAAACTATTTGTTTTGCGAACTTCCTAGGGCAGTGTGGTTCAACAAGGTAAACCACCAAATAGGGACATATAATAGAGACCCCTGTGGTTTGCATGGCTGAGGAATCAAGAAAGCATTGCGGTTTGCGTAGCAAGTATCCCGAAAAAGGGGAACTAGGCCAATCAAAATGAAGAAACTTGCAACCAGCCACAAACCGAGGAAAGCAGCATGGAATCCACAATTAAGTACCAGAGCCCGATAGGAGAAAAGGGGAGGTTGCTCCAAATACCAACCTTTTTTTTGAGAGCATGATGTCAAACTGTACCAAAAAAAGGCTTAACATTTACCTTGGTCGAAAAACCAGGCTCGTCAAAAAAGGCTGACCAAAAACAAGAAGCCGCTGGGTTTCTTAGGACCATTTGGGCGGTTCGAATTCGGGAAAACCAAAAGGTAGGCTTCCTTCGACCTCGGTTGAAACTCTCAAGTGAGAAAAAGGGACACCCTCCGCCCAAACCACTCGATTCCACTCGGCCCCACTCCACTCCACACTCACTCCACTCCACAGTCACTCCACTCCACTCCACTCCACTTCACTCCACTCACCATCACTCACCCACTTTTGGCTCACTGGCTGAGTGGACGGCCCAAAAAAAGTCCAAACCTTTTGTTTACCACTAAAATGGTCTTCCCAAAAAGTTTAGAGTTCATGAACTCAGGAAGTGAGTTGGCCAACGCATCATCATCAACCTGAACAGCTTGCAACTCCAGGGCCAGACCTCCTGCGTCTCCAAGTCCAGGGGCCACGAGCTGGTTCTGCCAAATGATGGCTACGGACTTCTTGGGGGTTTAGGTCGGAAAACCCCGCCTTGATCTCAACCAAAAAGCTCAAGTCTAAAGATCCAACCCAACCCAAGAGCAGCCAAGCTAGGGCCAAAAAATGAAAAATAAGCGGCTTGGGGCTTCCGGGGATCTGCCTCGCGAACCAGATCTGAGGCGCATAGACCTGGCCCGCTTGGTACAGCGCGATGCGCAAGGCCGGCGCCGGAGTTCGGGCCTGGCGATCACTCGGCTGCCCAAAGGATCTTCAGTTGGCCAGGTTGGAGCTAGAAAATGCAAGGGATCGTTTTTGTCCAGGGTACCCCTTTGTTGGGTGGTTTTCATACCTACCCAAAACCCTCAAAATGGGTGACTGCCTCACATTTATGGTTGGTGATTCCCCGATTTTTTATGGGTAGCCTGAGAGTCCAGGAGGAAATAACAGCTTCACCCAGGTGGGTGCGTCTTTTTTGCCAGGGTATCCCTTGGTTGTGTGGTGTTCAAGGGAAACCAGAACGATGTGCCTTTTTTTTGGGGGAGTCTCCTAAAATTAAGACACACTACACACACACACCAAGTTAACCCTTTGGGGCCATGACTAACTAACAATGGTTACCAAATCAGGAAGCCAAAAGGTCAGATATCTGGTCGATTCGCTTTGCTGATCTGCTTGCGACAATTTACGTCCCCTGGAAGAAAATAAGAGCCTCGATGCACTATGCAAAGTGCTTTTTTGTTGGTGGGGAAGGGCGGGGGGGGGGGGGATTTCGGCATAGGCACAAATCTCGCTAACTCCTACAAGTCTTAACTTCAAAAGGGTATGATAACTGCATCCTTCTGCAAACTGATGGAAGGGCCCCAACAAAAACCATCCCTGGTCCGAATCGGACCCCCCGCAAAGGCGGCAAGGCCTAGTTTGAGGTTGACCGCTGTGAGAAGTCTTCTCAGGGCTCTCTTCAAAAGGGAAAACAAAACTTTCGCTTGGAGAAAGGAACGTTCAAAGCGGAAACAAACACACTTCACCAGAGGAAACGGCTTTGCACAACCATATAATTTCTTGGAGTAAAACCCAGTTGACCTCAGCCAACTTGACGACGCACAGCCGGGAGAAGCAAGATGCCTCCTCTTTCACGATGTTGAAGAGGTGGTCCCGGACCAGCTCTAACCTCAGAATCCCCTTTCTGTTGGAGGGACCCAAAGATCCCAAAGAGCGGGCGCCATATTTCTTTGTCCTTGCGGGATGGATTTTGAAAACCTGTGCTGTTCTTCAAAGGCCCAACCCGGTGAACTGAAACCGGGGAACCCTTGAGCTTGCGCGTTCTCCTTTTGTTCCTGCGGGGTAGGTACAAGCGGGGTGGGTAGCTGAGAGCCCCAAAAACCTCCCTAGACTAGGGGATTTTCGGGTAGCCTTAGGGACCCCCCCTTGGACGGACCACCCGAGGCCGGGGTTCCACAATCTTGGGGCGTAACGGGGCTCGTGAAACCCCAAGCATCCAGCTGCAGCCCAGCGGCGCCTCCATGGAATAAATCTCCGTCAAGCCCCGCAGCTGTTCGCCATCCATGTCTAACCTGCACTCGCGTCGAAAGCTCGCGTCCCAAGAGACCGGGGAAAAAATCAGGTGTTGGGCCCGAAACAACCTGGACCCCCAAAGGACCCCTTTTTCTGCCTTTGACCCAAAAACAAGGGGTACAAAGGCAGAAAAAAGGAGTCGATTGAAATTCCAGGAAAGCGCAAAAAGACGATGGCCGGTTTCTGGAAATGTTTTGTGCCGCTTTTGCAGTTGGATGCCACACGGGCCGCCATTACCATACTATGTGGAGGTGTGTCTTTGACAGAAAAAAACCACCCCCATATGGCAGACTCTACCATGAATGGTGAGGTACCACTAGGTTTTACCATGGTTTGCAACCCCTGGTTGCAAGCCGAGTCTCGTGGTTTTGCCGCGGGAAGCACTTTTTGCACTTGAGACAACCCATGAGCGTGCCACGTGAACAAAACCCGATTCGTGCGGCCGATTCGCCTGACAAGGCCGCCGGATTTCAGCGCAGGGATGAATGGCACCTCCAGGTACTTGAACATACTGGCGACCATGAGGTACATCCTCAGTCCATCTCTGTCCCACTCTTCCAGAAAGGTGGCGACTGGGTGCAAACAATAAGGGTTGCGTGACGCGTCACCTGTTGAGCCATGTTACATCTCCTTTAAGGGGGAGATCTCTTTCTGAGGAGAGTGGCTGAAAACTTGGTCCGTCCAGTTCCATCTATCAACAAGACCTACGGGATACCTTCCCAACGAGTTTCAACAGGAACGCGTATCCCAAACCCAATCCACGCCATGACGTCAGATCCGGTTGACTTTGGACTGAGTAACGCACTTCCGATGGAGTGGATCCGTCAATCGAAGGTCCAAGAACTTCCTGGACCCCCAAAGGACCGTTTTTTTTGTTCTTCTGCCTTTGTGCCCCTTTTTTTTTCGGTCAAAGGCAGGAAAAAGGGGTCCTTTGCGGGTCCTGGTTGTTATTAACCACTATGAGTGACCTCTTACAAAGCTTGAAGTCTAGGAATACCTCCCAACTTGAGGGGGTGGGAACTCTTCTCGAAAAGTGACTAAAGTCCGAAACGGAACTCAGGAAGCGAGGGTACCACCCACCCTTCAGGCCGTCTTCCCGTCTTCCCCGTCCAAGTTGCAGCTCCGAGGCGGTCTTTAACCTGGCTCCCGGCGCTTCGACCGACTGCCCCTGGTCATCGCAAATGCCCAGTAGCCATGGGAAAGAAGTGCATCCGATTTGTTTGGTTGGAGTTTAAAGGGGAACCCGTCCCCGAGAAAAGGAAAACATGCCGCAGAGCCATGGAACCTGATTGCCTGGTTGCCCCCCCCCCCCAAAAAAAAAAAAAAAAAAAACTCAACAAAAAGGGGCCCGCGCCGCTCGAATTGCTTCTCTTGCGAGTGAGCCACACAAAGGCGACATACAGACTAGGTTCCCGTGAAGGACATGGACATATTCGAGTTTGCCTTCTGGTTATTTTGGTTGTTGATGGAAATCTGGAGCTCGCGGGGACATGGGACCGTAGACTGCTCATTTTGTATCCCCCCGCCCCGACTTGGGTATCATTTTCGAGGCACGGCACCCGATTTTTGGGTTAGCCAATCGGGAATCCAAAAGGAAACCCCACTTGATCCTTTGAGAACCCCATCCAAGTCAACGTTCCACCCATAAGTTAGCGCATTGCCAAGGAAAATAAGTAAGTCAGTAAGTAGTAAATATAAGAAGTCAGCACGTGAGTAAAAAAGTATTTTGTCATCCAATGCGCCAGGGGGAATCAGACTGTGTGCTTGCAAGACAAAAGCGCGACCTGCGTCATAGCGGCCGGAAAAAAAGGATTTGCGGGTCAATCATTGTTCTTCCGCCCTAAGGATCTTGGTCTCGAATGTCCCCGACATCCCCAACCCCTCAGGACTCCCCTCATTGTAGTCATAGGACCATAGGCATGCGCCTATTGGAACACCAGAGAAGACTGAGCAGGGACAACGGGGATTGGAGTCTACAAAAAAAGGCCTTGTAACAATGCAAAATACAGCCATTGAGAAAATGAGGTCCATGCAAACCACCACTGGGTTGAACATGATCCAAAAAAACACAAGTTGGGTTGATGTTTGCCGCCAGGTGCAAGCAGGAATGGCCATTCCCACGCAAGGATGTAAGATGGCAGCAAATGTTGACCCAGAGTTCCATGGCAAGACGGAACACAAAACCATCGACGGCCTCTCTTTCCGCTTGATCTCGGAGATCCGGTTGCCTTAGCCACATTTAGCCACCGAGACTCGGTTTGACTTGTTGGGTCCATTTTGTGCTGCCTTGCCGGCCCATATCTTCAGTGATCCTCCAGCAATAAGAGGACATGTGGAAAACCACTCTGTGACACCAGGGTATACTTTGTCAACCCCTTTAAAGTGAAAACGTCATAGGAATGGCGACATTCTCACAGAGTGGCCGGAAAACCCAATTCTCCACATTCGTGGAAAAGGACTGAACAAACCGAAAGTCACCTAAGGCTGGGAGCAAAACCATTCAGGCAGTGGCCCAAGGGAAGGACACACGGCGGAGCTTCTGGGCTTGATCTTTTGTCGGAAACAAACTGGGAATAAGATGGGAGGCCTGGTTGAAAGATGACATTGTCTAATCTCACCCGCCTAATGAATGACCCCAATTAATAAAAAATCGAAATCCGGGGCCCGGGACCAGATTTCCACTCCGCACAATTGATTTTTAATTGAGCCAATACTAAACCCTTACTAACAAGGTGTCTTTTGCTTTAGCACCGATCTAGCACAACTAATCCTCCCGAATCTGAGCCCCGAATCTGAGTTTGTTCTGCCCCACATTTGCGCAATGCCCGTGGCCTTGAGTGATCCATGGCAACTTCCTGGGAGTGTCTGTTGTGGAGAGGGGCCCCTGTTGGGTGGATTTGAAGGGACACCTAAGGGAAAACCACCAAAAGGGTTTTGGGGAAGTTTAGGGAAGTGAGCGATTTGGGTGCCTAACATGCCCTTGTCCAGGAGTGCGGAAGCCACCATTTGCAGGCAATGCTCGAGTGGATAAACTCAGCCCTGTTGATGATTTGTTGAGGGCACCAGGAAAAGCAAAAGGTTCGATCTGGTCGATTCGCTTTGGGCAACTGAGTTAGCACATTTTTGTTCTCCATCAAGTAGGGGAAATAACCAATATTTAGGGGTCTCACTTCCTGAGTGGATTGGCCAAAAAGGTACCCAAACTTGCTATTTACCACTGAAATGTCTTCCCAACCCCAAAAAGTGACCATCAGGTCCGAGTCCCGGGAACTCCACGCAAGTGCCAAAAACCAGCCCAGCCCCAAACCCCAAGCCCCAAACCCCAAGCCCCAAACCCCAAGCCCCAAGCCCCACCCCAAGCCCCAAACCCCAAGCCCCAAACCCCAAGCCCCAAACCCCAAGCCCCAAACCCCAAGCCCCCAAACCCCAAGCCCCAAACCCCAAGCCCCAAACCCCAAGCCCCAAACCCCAAGCCCCAAACCCCAAGCCCCCCCCAAGCCCCAAACCCCAAGCCCCAAACCCCAAGCCCCAAAGCCCCAAACCCCAAGCCCCAAACCCCAAGCCCCAAACCCCAAGCCCCAAACCCCAAGCCCCAAACCCCAAGCCCCAAACCCCAAGCCCCAAACCCCAAGCCCCAAACCCCAAGCCCCAAACCCCAAGCCCCAAACCCCAAGCCCCAAGCCCCAAACCCCAAGCCCCAAACCCCAAGCCCCAAACCCCAAGCCCCAAACCCCAAGCCCCAAACCCCAAGCCCCAAACCCCAAGCCCCAAACCCCAAGCCCCAAACCCCAAGCCCCAAACCCCAAGCCCCAAACCCCAAGCCCCAAACCCCAAGCCCCAAACCCCCAAGCCCCAAACCCCCAAGCCCGTTTCTTCGGGCTTCCGCGTCCCGAAGAAGACGCGACCTGCCACCCACCCGCCGCGTGCGACGCGAGCGGCGCAGCGTCGCCAGGCCGAAGGCTTCGCCGATGGCGCCGGGCCTGCGACGCGCTCGAGGCGAGGCGTTGGGATCTGTAGAGATCTTGGGCCCCCCGAAGGCCCCAAAGAACCCCACAAATACCTGTTTTTTTTCAGTTTGTTGTTTTTGGAAAGCCTGATTTTTCCACAGTAAATGCCTCCTTTTTTATAGTAGAGGGTCGATATCATACCCTGAAAAAAGTGGGTATAGGGTGCAAGGGAAATCATCAGGAAGCCAGGAACCGGACCTGGACCCTCAAACTGCCCATAAAAAAGGACGGACATCCTGAAGTTGTGGGTTGCAATGGCCCGTTGTTTAGAGGCAATTCGAGGGTCCAGCTGCAAGCTTTATGTCAACTTTCCTGTGGTTTGGATTGCAAACCAAGCCTTTGTACCCCTTATTGTTTGGTCAAAGGCAGAAAAAAGGGGTCCTTTGGGGGTCCAGGAAGTTACGGAACTCAAACTTCCCCCAAGCTCCCTTCGCAAAAGACCTGCATGCGCTCATTTCGCACCCGAATCGTAGAGCTTTAAAGATCAGGATGGCATAGAACCCTCTACCTTGCCTGGGAAGAGTTAGATTTATAAGCACCACAGAGAGGAAGGGGGTATATATATATATACAGTACACGTTACCCCCAAAAGGGAAGTTAATGTTTTACAGACATATAGCCTAGCCCATGTTACCCCCAAAGAGTTGACAAGTTGTGTTTTTAAGAGGTAAGACACGGTTTTAATTTATCGTGGGAGGGCACCTAGATCAGTTTTTCAATAACATGCTATATTGCTTTGCCGAGGGTAACCTTTAGAACGGAGCCACATGTTGCCTCGACCCAAACCCCTCAAGCTTATGGAAGCCATGAGTTCCGAAGATGTGTTTTCGAGGCATGTCTACTTCGGGGCGGAACCGGCAAACAAAAAATGGGGATCAGCAAAGAGGGTCCGGGTTCGGCGGTGCTTTTGGCACAGTGTGCTTGTTTAACACCACATCAAGTTGACCATGTAGCCAAACAAAAAGGGAGAAGAAGTAGCCCAAGGCGTTGGGTTTTGCCAAGCTCCCGTGCCATACCTTCATACTAAATAACATATCACGCCGCCTTTTGGCTTTCCTGGGCCCAAAACGGGGTCCTCAGACTCCCTGCTAAAAGATGAACACTGTTAGTGGGCTAAATGGAAACCCGATCACTAAACCAACTAACAACCTGAAAACCTAAAGAACAATATGGAGGGCGTTCTATGGTTTAAGGGCAGTTTGAAGCTCCAGGTCGGGTTGGGCTCAGCCGACGTCTGAGCTTCGGGCGGACTACTGCGGGCGCGTGCCTCGCTGGACGAAGGCTCCAAATCCGCCCATCGATTCGATGAATTGAAAGCGATCTCTGGTGTTTGCTGGGCTGGGGTGGCGAGCAAGTTTTCCCTTATAGGTTTAACATGATGGCTGCCCCGGGTTCCCTACTACAGTGGTAAATGGAAGCACTTGGTGGAAAGTTGCCCCCTACTCCAAATACCCTCTTTTTCAGGGTAATTTTGGGACAACCTGGGCTCCCATGGTTAGTTGGTGGAAGGGTACCTCCTTTTCAGTAGAGGGTTGACGTGATGCCCTAAAGAAACTGTTCTGGAGAAAAAAAACGGAAATGTTGCAGCTTTTCTCGCCCAGCCAGCAACAATCCCCGGGCCAAGCTGCTTCGCTTTTCGCCCTCTGGGAGGAGAGATGCTTGAACTCCTCCTTCACCTCAAAGCGCCGGCCGGGCTTCCCAGGATTTTGGGCTCTTTACACTTCCCACCCACCAAAAACCTCACAGAAGCTCCGAGAGGTGAGGTTCCTAGCTGCGCACTCTACACTTGCTTAGGCACGGAGACTTTGCCAATCTCGGGTACTCCCAGAACTACATATGATTCTGTTCCAAAACTTGGTTGCTAATGACCCCCCTGAAAAAGTTTAACTTTCGGGGGCTAGTGGAAACCACCTTCATTTCCCAAAAAGTTGAAGTCAGAAAAGATCCAACCCAATAGCAGTCAAGACAAATGTAGTGAACCATAAAATTGAGAATGGTTTTGGAGGAGAAACGGAAAGCGGGCTAGGGCAACCAGCCGCAGCCATCCGCAGCCGGTGATTCTTCCCGTATGCAAGGCGCTGTCTGGTCAAAGAGCACCAGCAAGGGGTCGTACTGCAGATGCTTCCTCGGCATGCCAATCAAGAGAACCAAGACGAGGTTTCCCCGCCTTGGGGCCTTGTTTCCCGGCCTTGGGGGTTTCTTCTTGTGCAGAATCCCCCCAGTGGCGCCAGTCCTTCTGTTGAGTTGCACAGCTTGCGATTTGCGGCGCTTCTGCCGAGCCATACCGGGCCATACCCTTGGTCCAACAATCGGTGGGATTGCCGGACGGAGGGAAGGCCAAACCTGAACTGCAAAACCAACTTGGATGTCTCCCAAAATCGGCAACCGCAGGAAATGATCGGCATACTATCGGCATTGACAAACAACGGTGCTGTTGTGTATACTTCAAAGATGAACTTCCAGTTGTTTAAGCCCCTGGAAAACAAACATATTTATGTGTACATATTATACAAATAATATGTATATATATGTCCAGAAGTGATAGGTTACCTATAACACCGGACACAAACAATATTCCTAAGCAAATAAGTTGGCCAATGACCCTGTCATCCCACCCCATTTAGCCGAACCCTTCTTTGGCACCATATTGGCATAACCACCTCCAAGAGGAGGCTGGAATCGGGTTTAGGTAGGCCACGGCAGGGAAGAACGGACACCCTTTTGCTCGAATGTAAAGTAAAACCGGTTCCCTTCAAAACCAAAGGTGTCAAACCATCCATCCGAACCAATCCTCACTTCCTGAGTGGATGGCCCCAAAACAGCACCCAAACATGTTTTGTACCACCCGAAACCAAGCCCAAAAAGTGACCATCAGGTCCGAGTCCCGAAACTCAGGACGTCTCAGGGCAGTAAGCTCTGGGTTTCGGTTTCCCCACCGCTTAAGCCGACTCAGGCCGACTCAAAATCCGACCGAGCGGCATGGCGCGCTTGGCGGGGCGGGTGGCCAGCTTGGCTGGGCCCGGGCTCCACACCGCCGGCGTGGCATCGCCTCAGGTCGTGGACCTCTACGGGTGGGGGGTGGGTGAGCTTTCCCTGACTAAGCCTACCCCCCAAAAGCTCCGATTCCACGACCGTCATGTTGGTTTGCCATCTTTTGGTTTGAAACCTGGTTTCCCATGGGAAATTAACCTACTTGTTCAATAGAGGGCCCCAAAAAAGTTGGGGTATTTGGAGTATAGGGTAGGATAAGCACGGACAAGCCCGTACAAAAGGCCTTGTTAATAAAAGGGATAGCCCCGTCCCCAATAACCCACGGGGCTCCATGACCGGGGTCGAAAACCCACGAGGGTCAACCCTTAGAAGGTGACACGCTCCAAAGCTTAATGGGGGTTGTCATGTTCCCTGAAGGACTCCCCAAAACACTTTCTTGGCCGAGCTCACCTTTGACCAGGAGCTTGCTTTTGAATTGATGCAGGGGCTTTAGAGCCAGGAATGTCCAGCTCGGATGTTTCTGGGGCGCTGTGCTTATCAAGAGTTTCCCGATCTTTACGAAACTGTTCCTATTCTACCCGAGGAGCCCCTTGGACCCTTCTTTTTTTGAGGGCCTTTGACCCCGAAAGGCCTCAAATCATGAGGTCCAAGGGGCTCCAAGGGTAATAAATATGGCCTCCCTCCCCTCCGCTCCAAAATCAACTTATTCGCCTAGGGGCAGACACACAAATCAACAATAGGGGGGTCCAGGGGGTTCTGCAATGGTCCTCGTCCAAATGAAGTCCCCCCTTGCCTGGCCCAAATCGTTCAAGATTGAAATTTCCGAGTGAGGAACTTAACCATGCAGCAGACATCTTAGTCATGGTTTGGAGCTGTGCTGGTTTCGCGATGGCTTCAACTTGGTTTAGAATTGGCTTAGCATTGGCTGATTCTACTTCAGTGGGAGATATAGCAAATGGCATATGCACTACGGGCAACTTCACGGTTCGAAGGGCAACACCTTGGCACAAGATGGATCAAAGCATGGGCTCGCTAAGCCAAATCCTTAATGGCCACGCCTGGCCGGTGATTCAACCATGGAGTTGATACACCATTCTTGGGGGTACGGGTCCCGGTGCCCCGCCTTTCTCGTCTGCCGCGCGCAATCTGGCGTCGCCTGTGAGGTGACAGGTAACCCTAGTTGGTTTGGATATTTGAGGATCTGAATTTCTGTGATGCCAACAAGGAGTCTTGCAAATAGCAGTTCATGCATTTCCAGGCGGGGTCTAAACACAGGATGTCAAGAAACAAGTACATCATGCGTGGACATGTTTTGGGCGTCGCTCTTTAAAAGCGAGGCACGAAATCAGAGAGTCCCAATCGGTGTCTTCTCTTGAGGGTACACCCTTGTTGATTGAAGGGAATATCCCAAGCTCGGTTGATCAGTGACCCGGGCAGAAAAATGGAACGCTTCCTTAAGGTTGACCCCTCTAGCGAAGCCAAAACAACAGGGAACAAACGTGCCACTGAACAACTGTGCAAAGAAAAGCATGACCTCATTTTCTGGCAACCCCAAACTGGATACTTGAAGCTAACTCCCACTGTCCTGCCTCGGTTGCAGAGCACCTAGGTTCACAGCTGACAGCTGACTCGCAAAACCTCACCTTTGAAAAGGGTGGCTGGGACAGTCAGGAGCATTGGGCGCACTCTGCAAATGCACGGTGCAGCGGGCACAACGAAACAGTCCAAGCCAGGTTTGGTTTTGTTAGGTATCGCAAAATACATACAACCGCGTGATCTTCCTTTCGAGACATAAGCCACTCCTGGGTATTATATAAGTCTGTCTTCAGGAAGTCAAAAGTCAAAGGACCACTCTGTTGTGACTGCGCCGTTCCCAGATCCCATGCGAAAAGTTCAATTATTTTCTTCGCGGTTGAGTGGACACTTGTCACCTCCGGCGCCTTCTCTTAAGCGATTCGTGCCGCAATGCCAAGTTCAAACATCTAAGTTCAAAAAACTTGGAATGAGACATGCCTGGACCCTCAATCCCACTCAAACAAGTGACTAAAATGAACCAAAACTGAGACCAAGCCAGTGAATTTGAGGCGCTTGCGCCATGGCGAGTTTCTTCCGGTTTCGGATCCCGGATCCGGATCGATCCCACTTTGCATGGCCGGATCCGGCGACTTCGTGAGCTCGGGCGGTTGACCGGTACATGAAGAGGACATGAGGAGCAAAGAAACGGAAAACCCAAAGTGAAGCTCAGCTCTGAGTTCGCCGGACGAAACACGCGGCTCCATGACTTGAAATGATCTAAATAGGGAAAGTGAGCAGGCAGTGGCCTTTTGGAAAAATAGATGGCCCTATGGAATTCACCCCATCCAACCAAACAAACCTAAAAAGGACACCTATGTGAGCAGGTGTTGGAAGACTCGACTCGCATTGATAAAATAACTGGGTCCAGTAGAGGGATACCCTCAAAATTACACTGCCTACCTCCAACATTCATGTTGATAACCATTTGAGAAGCCTCAAAATGCGGCGCCACAAATTTGGAACCCAGTCACCTTTTGGTGACATATGAACAAAAGAAGTTGCACTCCTGTGTTCGGTTACTCTGAAAGGGACACCCTTCCCTTTTTTAACATTGGCAGCTCACAAAAGCATAGGTCGGACCCTCGAAAGAAAGGTGATCCCCGTTTGGCTTGACTGAGACTCACCCCAAAAAAGGGAAACCCGATCCGGGCAGTTCAATCCGATCCGCATTGGTGAGCTTCCCTTTAAACCATGGACAGCACCGAGTGCGCCAAGGCGCTGGTCTCAGAAGCTGCCAGCTGGCGAAGGACCAGCACTTCAGCCCGAGCAGCACCCTCGGCCGATGCCCGTCGCGGTTCGTTTGAGGGTTGCAACCGCTGCAAACTTGGCCGGGTAAAACCAATAAATAGCCTTGTTCATGGATTATCCTAGACCCCCAAAGGACCCCTTTTTTCTGCCTTTGTACCCCTTTTTTTTGGGTCAAAGGCCGAAAAAGGGGGTCCTTTGGGGGTCCAGGATGTTTCAATCAATGATGAAGAAACCAACCGGCAAAAAAATAAAGTTCGCCACCTCAACTGGCAAGACCCAGTTGAACTCAGCCCCGCTACACGAGCACAAAGAGGCTTCCACGGATTTTAACAGCTTCCTAAAAACCGAACAGAACCCAACAACAAATCAGCCTAAATTGACCCAAGAACCGTTTCGGGAAGTCCTTAAGGGAGTGAAATGCAGCCTGGGTGCGAAACAAACAAATCCCATCCAATTTCGCCAAGATGCAAGCAGGCGGCTAGTGCGGCCTTGAGTCACGAAATTTGAGACCCCCTAAACCTCCAAATACCCCCTCCTTGTTTATAGTAAAGGGTCGACATCATAGCCTGAAAAATGCGGGAAATTGTATTAGGGGGTATCCCTGCATTTTTGAGACATGCAGCAGCCAAGCTTTCAACGGGGGTGGATGTGGATGGATGGCTGGATGGGTGAATTGGTGGTTTGGATTGGTGAAACGGCTGTTCCCAGCCCCCAGCACCCTGCTTGTTCTTCGCCCCAACCAGTCTCACTTCCTGAGTGGACGGGCCAAAAACAGTCCAACACTTTGTACTTACAACCAAAATGATCTTCCCAAAAAGGATACAAAGTCCAGGAACTCAGGAAGTGACCAGTTTTACTAGGTCCTCCGGTGGAGAGGTTAGAATACGGGTACCCTTTCTGTAGTCTATTTAGTAGGGGAACCGAATCTCCCAACCAAAAAAGAAACGGTAAAAGTTGGCACCTAGCTGGACCTAGTTTGGAAGGTTCATCACTGAAGTCACTGAAGGGCTCTTTTTCTGATGCGCCGAAGCCTGGGGGTCCTGACATATACCCCCGGCTCAAAATACCAACGCTTGTTTCAGTTGGATTTGTTGGTTGAAAACGGATCGGTTTTCCATGGTAACTACCTCCTTTTTTGGTACAGGGTCGACATGATACCCTGAAAAAAGGCCGGGTATTTGGAGCTTTCGGTGGTATGCAGCACGATCCGAATAGACCAAAAGGGGCTCAATCATCGGGTGCTTTGCGAACCCGGGGTTCAAATCCAAACCGAAACCAGCAACTCAGGGCTACATGATCTGAAGCTAGCCCACAAACACCGAGAAAACCGGGCAAATCAACTCCTTGCTGAAATCTTCAGCTTGAGGATTTTCAAGCGAAGGCCTTCTAGACTATCCACCTGACGCAGTGGCCCTTGTAGGTTCCTTACAAATCTGCCCTGGTGCTCACTCCGTCCCCGAAGAAAGCGGATCCGGAATGGCAATCCTGGATTCCCAATATCACTTGCCGGAAGGAGCGGCAACGGCAAAGATGGGCGAAAAAGTTGACCCTCTGCAGAAGGTTAACTTTTCTGGAAAACCCTTGATTTCCACCAAACAGTTCGAGTCTAAAGATCCGTTACCCAATAGCAATCAAGAAACGCTCGTTCCTGGTCCACTAGCCTTGGGCCTTGGTGAGGCATACCCTTGGTTGAGCGAGCCATCCCGCTTGATTTGCTTTTCGGGGAGCGCACCCCCCCGAAGGTAGGGCGACCCAATACGAGGAACGCTGTGTGTCTCTTTGCCTTTCTTTTGCCCTGGATGCGCAAAACGACACCTACCTGAACTCTGAACCCTCAAAGCATTCATTTAAAAAAAAAGGAGAAAAACAAAAAAACGGGTTCCCCCTGTAGCCTGCTCCGGCACATCGATGCCTAGGGTTGAAAACACACGTCTCGGTGGGCAAAATCCACTTCGCACCGGTTGGGATGAACAAAGCCCTGGTGATTATTGGGACACACCACCTGCCAACCGGTTCATGACTTTGTCCACCCACCCTTCAGCTTACCTCTGATTGGTGGTTTGGCGGGGGCTGGTTTTTCAAATCCTTAATCGACCCAAACCGCCAATTAGGGGAAAGCTGAACGGTTGAAACATGAACAATGCAAATAAGCAACGGCTTGGCCCTGAACCCTTCATGGGGAGCTTACAGCACAGTCTGTTTGACCCTGCCTGTCTTGCCATCGCGTCATACAGCGGCCGCGATCGCGGCCCGGCGCTGAAAGAAAACGGCCAAAAGGCCCTGTGTGGAATTGGCAAAGGCACTTCGTGAGCGGCTTTGCCCAAAAAAAATCTATAGTCAAAAACAAAGACATAAACAAACCTACGTCCTGAGCGGTGCAACAAAAACAAAAACACACCGTGTAGTTCCCACTAGATTGGTCTTTCCCAAAAGTCTAAAGTCCAGAAACTCAGGGAGTGAGTAAAGGCACGTACTGTGCTAGCCAAGCTCTCCTGTCGGGTTGCCCATTTGAAGCACCCGTTCGCCCGACCACTCACTGGCCCAAAAGACCTAGAAGCGGTCAAGCACCTTGTCCGCCTGCCACCGTTTTCTTTTGCCGAAACCAAACAGCCGAAGGTTCGATTGGCGAAGCAGACGCATTTTGTCAAACGCTGCGCTGAGAGTCCCCGATTGAAATGGGGCAAGGAGTTCTTCCCAACTTTGGTATGTGAGCCGAACATCTTGTTCTGTGCAGCCTAGGGGAAAAAAGGAGCCAAACAAACTATGCCAAAAGCAGTTGAAAAAGATGAGCCCACTTGAAGCCGGAAGAGTTCTTGCCACACTTGAGCTCCCGCTCTTTGAGTCTCTCTTCACTCCGGCTGCTTGCTCGAGCCGAACGGCTCCACGGCGCGGCGCAAAAAAATCGGCAGGCAGTTACGTTGCTAGTCGCCCCAAGAAAGCCAAGGCATACCCCCTACACCCAGTACCCACATTTTTGTTTGAGGGTATCGTGTCAACCGGTTGCCATGGCCAACCAGGGGTTTCCAAAAAAAGACCAACTAAAAAAGTGTGGGTGCTTGGAGCTTTCGGGGGCAAATCCAGAAGCTGGGAAAGCGAGCTGGAACCCGAAGTATACGAAAGCTTAATCTTATCTCCTCAGTTGAGCTCGATGTGATTTGGACATGAGCCCCCACTGATGTGGGTTTCGGATGTTTCTTCGAGGGTTAAGGAAAGCCAAAAAGCGAACAACTCCTTTTTGGGGTCCTCGAACATACCCCCTGCTCCAAATACCCGCTCTGTTCAGGGTAATTTTGGGAAAACCTGGGTCTCCATGGTAAATACCTCCTTTTCTTTTGACGGGTTGATATGATCCCCCCATGCGCCCTTTTTGCCAGTTGATTTCGAAGGGAGGGGGGGAGTGGATCAATTCAAAAACCAGGTTTGCCACGAGAAACACCTAATTGTTTTAGTCAAGGGCGCAATCATACCCGAAGAACGATGGATATTTGGTCTAAGGGATGCGTCACCTAGAAACTTCCTACTCCAACTGCCCTTTTCTTTTCGGGCTACTTTTCGGTAATACACTATTTTCCATGGCAAATACCCGTTTTGTTGGTGAATTGTTGACCTGATACCCTCTTAAGAAGCGGGGCATGTGGAGTCTCCATGACCCTTTAAAATGGGGTCATTACCCAAAATAAAGGGGTCATGGACCCATGTTTCAAGGGTCATGCAGACTCCAGGTGTTTGGAGGGTCTTGACCAAGCCAAGAACTTTCCTCTCCGAGCGCCCGCGCAGAAAGGGAGCTGCAGGTGTCAAATGTCCCCTCGAAAGTTAGGCCTAGGCGAAAGCGAAAGCAATACCGGTGACCAGTTTTTCTTGAGGCTCACTTCCTCGCCATAAAAAGGCAACCTGAAGCCTCAAACTACCCAAAATAAAACATTGTTGCCACGGAAACAACAGACTCTTCCTGAAAAGATGCTCTTGCTCCCGCTGCTCTTTGTAGGAAGTTGTCGTTACCCAGCAATGTCCCAGTGGTCATGGGACAACATTGCTCTCGGACACATCCACAAACCACCCGCCTTACCTACGGAAATCCTGAAAAACAGCCGGCAGTGAGCTTTAAGCTGGCAGCTACGCTTAATGGCCCCAGGAAGAAAACTGAACCCCCAAAAGGAAAAGAGGTGGAACTCTCTGCTTCTCCAAGGAAAAAGCCTTAAGTGAAACATCCTGGCAACCAAAGGATGGCAAAGGACATGGGAAACTCGGTCCGGTGCTAGGGCCGCCGGTTCTCTAGAGACCCCCGTGGCGGTTTGCACCCCCTACTCCAAATACCCTCCTTGTTCAATGCATCACGCCGACCCTCTACTAAAAAAGGAGGTATTTACCATGGAAAACCAGGTTTTCTCAAAATTACCCTGAAAAGGGCGGGTATTTTGAGTAGGGGGCAGACGCAACATACCCACGAAAGATGAAACCTCCAAATGCGCGCAGAACTCACGGAAAAGAATTGGCGGTAGGATTCTCAGGCTGTAAATCAGCCGTTTGTGTGGCTTTTGATCTGACAAGGTATCCTGGGCAAAAAACGTCGGCGCGCAAGTGACAGTCGCACATTTCCCCGGTTTGGCTGGCAACTTCTCCAAATTCTCTGAGTTTCGTCATGTTCAGCCATTTCTTGCTCTTCTTTGTGTTTGTTGCATTTCCTGGCGCAGGCCCGGGGTTGCCTCAGCCGGAAAAAGAAGAAGAAACAAAAACACCGCAAAAAAAACTCAGAAAACAACAACAACACCGCAAAAGAAGAAACAACAACACGCAAAAACTCAGAAGCCCACCGCCCCATCGCATCCCATCGGATCCCATCGGGTTTCCCCGGCGGGAGTCGACGCTGAGGATCAAGGACCTGGAGGGCGCCTCGTAGGCGCCATAGCGCCTGAGCTTCGCCGGCGGCCGTCGGGTACGTTTTCAGGTACCCTCCCAGACACAGGACGCACCCAAATGGCCATGGGTCAAAATCCCGTACCCCAGTGAACATCCCAATCCCTACTGAAATAAACGAAACTGAATTGCCATGAAGAGTGCAATGCTGCAATACCCTGTAACTTCAAGTGGTTCCATATGGCCATGGGTCAAAATCCCGTACTACCCCAAAATGGTGCCATTGGTTTTGACCCACAGCCAAAGCAACGCAGAACCCCAAAAAGAACCCCATTTGAAGGGAAACTCCTTATGGCCCGAGTTCCATATGAATTGGGGAGTAACCCACTCTAAGCTTCTTTCAACAGGTACCTAGATCCCCAGCGAGGCCTTTATTTTCCCGGGCTACTTTTGCCAAATGTTTGGGCTACTAGTGGGGTTCCAGTGGCTGGAAAAATGTATCTACTTGGGGTTCCAGGTCCCAGAAATTAATACAACCAACCAACGAACAAGTTCATAGCTTTCGCAACTCCAAAACCGATGGTTTCAAGGTCTCAACCTGAAAACGATGGTTTCAATAACGACGGTACTTGGAACCAATTTAAACCTTGGCACCACCCAGTTCTGGTTGGTAAATTTGCGATGTGTTTTGGGTAGTTTGAGGGAAGCAGGTACCCTTTTTGGACGGTTTACTTGGGTGTGAAGGGCTAAGCTAGTAGGTAGGACCCAGGCGAGAGAACTCAATTATAAGTCCCTGTGAATGTGGGGCTCACCTTACTACTGGGCAAAATCCATGTGGACGCACACATTTTCGTGGAACCCCAAAAAAAGAGAGCCCCCATTGGCAGGGAAAACTCTTTTTGGACACTCAAGTGGGTTCCATATGTAAGCTGAACATTCAAACCGCCGATTCGAACGCAAAGCTGCCCTTGAACCCCAAAAGAGGAATCGAGCGGATGGAAAGGAATTGTCCGGTTCAACTTTGGGCTGCAGAATGGCTATTGGAGCTTAAGGTAACTTCACTTCCCGAGTGTGGAAGGGCCCAAGCAAGTATCCACACTCTGCCAGGAAAATGGCCGTCGAACCCAAAGAATCATGTCCGAAACGGAACTCAGGCAGCGAGTCAAAGGAAAACCCTTCCTAAACAAAAGGAGAAGATAAAAAGCACGGCGTATGGCGGTGGCTCAAAGAATGGTACCCGAAATGGCACCTTGGTATATGGGAACAAGCGCGAAAAACAACCCACTGCTTAACCCAGCTGCTTCATTTTCGGCCACCGTAAGAATCCCTGGATGTTCCCTGACAAAGGCCAAACCCACCTTTGGTAGTCCTGAATGGGTCAGGATGTCCTTGAATGTCCTTGAAGCAAGGCAGCACGAGGTAATTGAGCTGGCTGACAGCCACCATGAATTGCATTGACAGCCACCGTGTAAATCCGCTCTTGCCCGGACTTGTCATGTTGATAATGAACCACCGGGATCCCCCGCAAGGCCTTTATTTTCCAGCTACTTTTGCAAAATCATGGGCTACTATTGGGGTTCCAGTGGCTGGAAAAAAGTGGCTACTTGGGGATCCAGGCACGTTGGTGTCGCCCCCAACTGCGCCAACTTTTTTCCGTAGTCCATTTTAGCAGGGGTACCCTCCCCAAAAAAAAGGTAAAGGGGCACTACTGGAAAACCTAGAAGCACTTGGACCTTCAAACTACCCGCAAAACTGGGATTTGTTTGACCCTAATTTTGGTTGGCAACCCATTCTTTAAGGGTAGTTCTTCCGGGCCCAGGAGAATGCAACCCGTCAGTTCCGCGGATTCGCCCAAAAAAACACCAGACTTGCTCCCAGCACGAAAATGAAGGACACCCCAAAAGGGCCTTACGGGCAAAAAGGTGAGCTATGTCTACCTGGACCTTCAAACTACCCAGAAAAAATTGGCGATTGCCACAAATTTATTGGGTGATGTCCCTCTTTTATGGGTGGTTTAAGGGTCCAGGTTAGTTCACTGCGGAAATCAACTCATTCGCTGAGCCTCAGGGTGCCTGTAGATTCAAGGCGAGGCGTGTCCTTTGTTAGGAATCGGAGAATCGGACCTCCCCAAAAAATGGGAGGGGGTTCCTTGTTGGTGTCCCCATATGTATATATATATATGAAAACGGACCCGCTCTCTTAAGAAAAAGGATTCCCATGGCAATGCTCTCCAAAGTTGGTGTCCCCAGCCTTGCCCTTACCTGAGAATCCAGGATTAATAAACCCGTCCCACTATTAGGGGGGCGTTCCCTCCAACAGTGGTCTGAATCCAACCACTAAAAGGGGACACCCCCCGATCAAAATCAACCAGGGGTTGATTAATCCTGTGGATGGACGAAATCCTGCACCACTTGCAAACCATGGCAAACCATTGTT